GGGGGGCCCCCCCCCCCCCCCCCCCTCCTATGTGACCCCGGTTGGGCGGTCCAACTGGTAGAAGTGGAGGATAGGGGCCAGAGGGGGAGACGGTCCAATGATGGGAGACAAACAAAAAAAAAAAACATCCGACTGCTTTCGCGAGACATGAAGTTCAAGAGGAAATAGAACAGGGAGGGGTACGCAGACCGTAACCCTAACCCAACATCTTCGATTGAATCATTTCCAACATATTCACTTCATTGAAACCCTCACCCTAATCCGCTACTGATACCATCGTCAAGTAGGCAGCACGAGGGAGGGAAGGAACGGGTGGTTAAGGTGGTCCTGCTGGACAAGGTCAGCAGAGGCAGACGACACAACTAAGCACTCTCCACCACCTTCACGGGACACACTTGGCACTGCTCTGAGTACTGGCACATGAACCTACAGCTGACCAACGCCTCGGCCATGCTCAACTACATGGCCGACCAATGATGATGATATTCTTACCTTACGTCCCAAAAAAAACACGACAAAAAAAAGCATCACATCCGATAAGTGTATTGTATTGTTCCTTGGAGGCAAACCGTTGAGCGTCACGGATATCATACATACCTGCCACCTCGGTACACGCAGTACCGAAAGTCGTGCGCCGTCTTACTCCCCGCTGGTCTTGGCAGTTCTTCCTGAAACACACACACACAAAGGTGGATCAACGCCACAAATTCGTGTAGGACACTCACTGCCAATGAATTATTATCGCGGTATGTATTTCGGAAGTGAAATCGGGACCGCGATATTTCGAGACCACGACTGCCTGTACCTAAAATGATACTTCTAGTTATCTCGTCAACGGCTTCCATCAAAACCTGTCCTTCAGTAGGTTTCGTAAGATAACACACCCCCTCGCCCCCCTCGACCAAGAGGATGCCGAAGGCAAACAAAACGTGTTCGGAAAGCTCTCGACGCGACGGTTCCAACTCCGCCATGTTTTCGGCACTGTCACTGCTTTCCCTGCCGAGTAATCAAGCTCTCAAAAATCGGACCAGGGGGTGTGATATCTTGCGCATGCAACCCGCGGTAGCCTCCCTCGCTCAACGACCACCGACACGTTGATATGAACCGCTTCAAACGATGCAGGACCGAGAACATGAAAAAACAAACACAACCTACGGTACACCATTCCACCTCCTGCCTGTGCAGGTAAGGCAAAGATGCCTCGGAGTCCCTGCGGACCACGCGGGCTCAAATGTTCCGCGTTTCCGTGCTCCATGGTTGTTGCAAACTGTGGCGTTTACCATAATACCGTATGTTGCATAAGATATCACCCTTTCATTAGATACCACAACCCCTCGGAAAACGTACACAGTACCACACCCGTGTGCTATTTTTTTCAATCCCGGAATAAGCGTCATTTTATCACACGGTGACACAAGACACCATACCCCTGAAGTTGGGCCGCATTTTATCGACGGAGCCCCCGCTTATCACACCGTGTGACAACGTGAGGGCATGAGATCACAAGCAACAACCTACTCGCAAAGGCCATGGAGGCCAACAATGCCGTGGAGGGTAGTGCACTTAGCAACCCTGCTGAAAGCCCCGCGGCTCAGACTGCAGTGGTAAGATTCGAGCGGTGGCCCCACGCTCCGTAGCGTCCTTCTTTCAACCCGCCCCGGGGGAACGTGGGGCTGCTGGGACGACTCCCTCAGCAGCCGCGCATGACACCGCACGTACTGCTGAGGTCCGCCCAACGGAATCTACCGCGGCTGAGACTCCCACAGCACCGGCTGCGCCTGCCACCGCGGGGGCCGCTGAAACCTGCGAAGCAGAACCAACTGTTGAGAGTCACAGCACCCACACCCGCACCCGAAAAGGCAGCTCTCCCGCCAATTACCAACACCCTGAGCGCGGCTACTGCTGAGAACCCTGCAGCAGCACCGCCCTGCGGAGAACCATCGTGCACCAACAAGCCCTTGTGGGCAAAGCCAGGGAGGGATATGCCGGAGTTTTGGGGCAGGCATGCGAAGTCTGGCGACGTCTATAAATCAAAATAAGGTGTGCGCAGAGCGTCTGGCAGCTTGCAGCACATTGGTGTTTGTGAGGATTCTCATGGCTCAAGCAAACCAAAGCACAGGACACGCCTGATTGCCTGATCGATTACCAGATGGAAAAAAAAAAGTGATTTTCACGTCGTGTCGTCGCGCTCGCCTCACTGTAAACTACACATTACAATACTGGGCCCGCTGTAGTGCCCGGTATGTGCCCAGAGATAATATCGGCACTATTGAGGATATGTTTGATTTCATGCTGTGGCGCTCATGCGTTGCGGGGCTAACAGAGTACGAAATGGATCAAACTTAGTGAAGGTCTATCGTGGGCGTAGGCATGCTTTCTCGCGACAAGTATGGTTCCCACCTGTCGCACACACAGAGGGCGAGTTGTAAAAAATATTTACTCGCATGTTGCACCGTTATTTTCTGCCTGCCTCAGCACATGGAACTGTTNGGCACTAATCAGAATAGTGCCTCAATAGTGCCGATTCGGCACTATTGAGGATATGTTTGATTTCATGCTGTGGCGCTCATGCGTTGCGGGGCTAACAGAGTACGAAATGGATCAAACTTAGTGAAGGTCTATCGTGGGCGTAGGCATGCTTTCTCGCGACAAGTATGGTTCCCACCTGTCGCACACACAGAGGGCGAGTTGTAAAAAATATTTACTCGCATGTTGCACCGTTATTTTCTGCCTGCCTCAGCACATGGAACTGTTCTGCACACCCTGAACTGTCGAAACTGCTGTTGACGGCAAGATGCTTGTAAAGCTCCCGTTCGTACAGAGTGGGCGTAGCTATATCTCAGCTCTAGAGCCCCTTGTTCGATGTTGCAAGATACAAAAGACAAAACAGAAAAAGAAACACGACAGGAAGCGCACTGCAAGAAAACACAAATCAATACTATTGCACTACAGTTGTATCTCCCCCCCAAACTACGTCGCGACACTGGAGTGTCTGCCTGGCGTACCCGCTTCGATGTCGCAAGAACAAAAAATAAAAACTACAAGTACACGACAGGAAGCGAACCGCAAGAAAAAGAAACAACCATGAACTCTACGTCGCGACAAATCCTCTAATGTCTGTCTGGCGCACCCGCCTAGCGGAATGCGCTGCGATCATCGACATCTTCGCTTTCGCTAGGTAGAACGCCGCGTCTCCGTTGCCACTGTCCTCTGCTGCCACTTCCAGGGCGCCGAAGTGAGACGACAGTTCTTCACAACCCGGTGGCGCACGTGGGGCACGGCGCTCGCGCCCCGTGTTCTCACCGCCGCCGCCCTGGTCCTGTTCGTCCTCCTCGTCGCCGCCGCCTGTAGACAAGTTCGTTCTAGCCAGCAGTGCTGTCATGTCTTCCACCGCGTCCAATCGAAGAGCCTCTACCACCTCCTCGTCGTCCTCGATGGTAGCCCACCCCTCAATCGCGGCCACCGCTTCCCCCGCGACCGGCTTTCCGGGTTCGATGTTGAGTTCTGCCAACAGTTCGCTGATCTCCTCGTCCACGACGCGGGATCCCTGCTTCTGCGCGTCCTGCACGCTCGTGCTCAACGTGTTGACAGTCTCTGCGAGAGCCTTCAGGTCAAGCTCGGCGACGTTGAACCGGGTCTTTCCGTGTTGCTTGGTGAGCTCAGCCGCCATTTCCTCCGGAAGCGTCTCGGCTTTGAAAAAGCACCTGGCCAGGTAGCGCAGAAATTGTGATGCATCCGTGTTGGGTGGAGAAGCGATTTTAGATGAACCCAGTGACAAACAATGACTCATAGGGATAAGAGAGAGGGCCTTTTTTTAGCAAAGAAACAAGGAGATTTGCGGTTGCGGGAATATTCAGTCGAAAAATAAAACCTATCCGTACAACCTCACCCACGAAACGTACAACCAAAGCTATGCGCACTTGCGCGAGCTACACGATTACAACAGCGATATCACATGTTCAAACCTCACCTGGCGATGTCTTGGGCGGTGACGCTGGCCCATGCTTTCTGGAGAAGTTCAGCGGCGTCCCGCACGTGAGGTTGGTGCCCTTGCGCTAGCCCCATTGTCCCGGCCTTCATCTTGCGGGCTTTGGCCTGGGCGCGAAGAGTGTCAGCCACCAACATGGTTGATGTCTTCACATCGAGCAGCTCCTTCCTGTAGTTGACCTTCGTCTTGGCGATGACCCCCAAATCCATGGGTTGGTGTACGGCGGTGCACAGCGGAGGGTAGGTCTTGACGGTAACTTGCCCGCGATCATCCACTAGATCACTGTGAGACGAACAACCGTCCATCAGCAGCAGCACAGGTTCGTGAGTGAAGCGCCGAACGAACGGGAGGAAGACTTCAAGCCACCACTCGAGGAACGTCGCGGAGTCGGACCACGCGTTGGTCTGCGAGAAGTACTTCAGAGGTGAACCCCCGTTCTTGAAGCCGCGGGGTTCCTTTGCCCTCCCGATGATGGCCATGTCAACCTTCGCAGTGCGTCGGCATTGCAGCACATGATGGCAGACAGTCGGTCCTTGAAGTGCATGCTCTTTGAGCCCCGCGCCGTCTTCCGATCCTCCGAGGTGGAAAGGTACATGCGCCTGGGCATGAGCTTCCACTGGAGGCCTGTCTCGTCGACGTTGAAGATGAACCTAGCCGGGTACTTCTCGCGAAGGGCCCTGATTTCCTCCATGCCCTCCTTGATGGCCTCCTTGACGACGCTACCAGCCTCGCCATGAAGTCTCACGCTCTGGATCTTGTTGCGCTTCACGAAGTTCTTCGCCCACCTCTCGCCGGCCTTGAAGTCCTCCACCCTCTCCCTCACTGCTGCAGAAGTTGCGGTGTCAGCCAGCAGGGTTGCCCTGGCAGAACGGCCGAAGCTTCGAAGGACATCGCGTGTGACGGGCATCTTGGCCTTCCGGGCTTTGTCGAGTAGATCAAGAGCTATCTCATCCACCTTCCGCCAAAAAACGAGTAAACAACGCAGAGAGTGCAAAAGATCGAACGGTTAGTTTCGAACGTAAGCATGCTAACCTACACTGCGCGGCGCGGGCAGGCGGACGAAGCGTACCCTGTTACACTACGCTCACATGTTCGAGTATTGTTCCCATTTGTGCACTAGTGTGAAGTACACTTGGACAAAAATGCGGCAGGTACAAACAGGAAGCGCTGCCGTGTTGTAGTAATTTACTCGTTTAAAATTGAAAAGAGGGTGTGTGCGAGAGCACAAGGAACGAATGAAAGATGAAAGCGGAAAGAAAGAAGAAAAACGAGAGACAAAAAAAAGAAAGAAAAAACCCGAAAAAAGCCAACAAACCAAAGGAGAAAGGAAGACGACAAAAAAATTGGACATCCAGCAGCGAACGAACCAGGCTCGAAAAAAAAAAGGCCGGCAAAAACAATGGCGGGGGAATAACCCAACGTCACAGCATTGCATGTAGCGCACCTCCGGAAAATCTCCTTTGCGTGCAGTTTTCTGGCTGCCGCAGCCTGCAGCAGTTGCTGTCTCCACCTTCTGCCGGCCAGCCGTCACGGTCCCAATAAACCGAAGCGAGCACTTGAAGCGGTCTGCAATCTGTGCGTGAGACACCTTCTGATCCAGCATCTTCAGAATCTCGAGCTTCTTGTTGTTGTCCAGCCGCGCACGAGAACCCGTTCCCTTCTTGCTTCCCCCGCTCGTCTGCTTCTGGCGTTTCGATGGTCCCGCCCCAGCACCCTTAGCTGCTGTCGCTTTGCGCGTGCTAGTCCTGGCGACACACGTGCTGCAGAAGCGGTACTGCTCGTTGTCCTCAAACACGCTGCCGCAATTGCCGTGGAGCCGCCCGCCACATCCTCCCTTGCAGGGGTGGCCATGAGGGGGTTGCGGCGTCCTGTCTTGTTGAAGGCACAGTTCACCTTCCGCACAAGGCATGGTGCGCCTCTGCGTAGAACTCTTCGG